TATATATATATATATATATATATATATATATATATATATATATATATATATATATATATATATATATATATGCAAGATGGCCGCTGGCCGGGGCAAACTTACACGACCGAATGGCCTGTACCCCCTATCAACACGTGTGAACGTTCCGCCGAATCCCTTTTGGAGAAAAAAACAATAAATAAGGAAAAAAGAGAAAAAGAACTGAATTTCGTATATTCTTAAAAAATGTATGTAATGCAGAAGAATAAACTAAACAACAAATCGTGTATGGAAATTGTAACATCCAGTGCAAATACGAAAAGCTAATATCAATAAGAAAAAACCAAAAAAAAAAAAAAAAGAGGAGAACGAAGTAAATTCGTGATCTACCACGTTTTCGACAGAGCCATCTTTGGTGATATTTATTTTTGTTTGTTGGTGTCACAAATGCCATGAAGATGTACAGAGGTGTTTGTTTGTACTGGGGAATGGAGAAATGAAGTATGGAAATACTAAAATGTCTTTCATGCACGTAAACGAAGGGAAAACAAAAAGTTGAAAGCTAAAAAAAAAATAAAAAAGTGCGAGTGGCCAAGCAAGTTTCGACGCCACGTTATGTGAGGATTTTCCATTTGTATTTGGCTAAATAGAATGACTTCAAAATCAATAGGGAACCACCTCACATTACGAAGAACTCAGAAAAGTATTGCAAACAAATATATTAATATTCTGGATGATCACACAGGTTTTTTCTTCTCATGCAAAACGAGTGATGGTCGATGTGAAAACATGCTCGCCCACTCGCACGTGCAATTTATGTGTGCATAGTATCGTATTGTTAGTGACCGTAATTTTACAATTATTTGGAATCATAACTCTGTTCAAAACTGGAAAACAACAGGGAAAAAAAAAAAAAATCACAAATTTCTAAAACATGAAGAAAAAAAAAAACAGAATAGATGCACGTAGCTATGCCAAACAAAAATGAAAAATCGTCGAAGATGGCGGTGAGAACAAACATCCTTGCGCACTTGGTGAATATACATCTATTTATTTATTTTTTTAATTCTGTGTGTTTTTACTATTTGTTCTCTTAATTTTATTTATGTCTTCAAATTTGGTGACGATTTTGGACATAATGCTCAGGCAAATCTGGCTCGAATTATTTTTGTCCATGAGAAATCGATTTTATTTCGATGACTTTTTTTTGGTTTTTTTTTTTTTTTTGGGTCCGTTTTCGGGCCGAACGGCCGAACGCATCTTCAAGGGGTCCCACACGTTTGGGCGTTTGGGTTCGGGCTTTCAGCCCACCCCCCATTCGTCGGTCACCATATATATATATATATACAGTGTCACCGGGTCGTACGTACGGAGGTCCCCGGGCCGACCTCCGTACGTACGGGAGTTCGGGGTCCTGTTATGGGTCCGAACCTGAAGGGGTTCAGGCCTCACAAAAAAATATTTCGGGGCCTAAAAATATATATTGTTTTTCTGAATGTTTTTTTGTGGCTTCTCTATGATGTGAGGTACCTGCGTATTAAATTTTGAAGTCATTTTGCAAAGCCAATACAATATTAAAAATCGCCAAAGATGGCAGTGTCAAAATGACATTATTTTGTTTTTTTCCTCCCGAACGGTCGAACGCCTCCCAAAGGTGTCCCGTACGTTTGGGCGTTCGGGTTCGGGCGTTCGGCCCGTCCCAAACGCCGGTTACCCTGTTTATATATATATATATGTATATATATATATATACATACATATATATATATATATCGTCAAATAGAACTGCCCGGTAAACCGTAGGCAGACAGGGAGAAGGGGACAACAAACGAGGGGCTGTGACAAACTGTTTATATATATATATATATATATATATATATATATATATCGTCACAAACAGAACTGCCCGGTAAACCGTAGGCAGAGAAAGAGAAGAGGACAACAAACGAGGGGCTGTGACAAACCATATATATATATATCATCACAAACAGATATACATTCACATTTGTGAAAAATAAATTTCACAATTAAAAAAGAAAATAAATTCCGAACGCCGACCCAAGGACGAGCGCGAACAAGAAAAAAAAATTGATAATTGAAAAAGAAAATATATTTACAATTATGAAAAACAACTGTGTAATGTAGAAACATAACATAAACTGAGGTGCTTTACGATAGTTGAAATTATAAATGACAACGGAAAATACTAAAAAAAAAAAAAAAAAAAAAAAACAGGAAATTCAATAACACACAAACACCATTCACTGAATGCACGCGCACGTTTCCAAAACCGCCGTGGGCCGCCATTATTTTCCATCTTCGGCGGAAAGGCAAACCCCCACAAATATTACGTTTGAGCCGCGTCGATAATTATTGAAGCAATAAAAAACTGCCAACAACGAAAAACATTGATCACGCCGCGAGATAAAGTGCAAAGGAAAGGCCAAAAAAAAAAAAAAATACAAAAGAAAATTGTTTTCTTCGCGAGCACGGTTTCAAAGAACAATGTATGACGATTTATTTATTTATTTATTTATTTATTTTTATTTTTTTTGGAAAAAAAAAACCTACGAAAACTAAACTCTTATGTACAATACAAAGACAGAACAAATTTCGCGACAGGCTGTATCCGAAACGGTACGACAAAACTGGAATCCCAAACAAGAACAAACCTTGCCTTCACCAAATGTATTTGAACTGATCGTCGACAAGCTATGGTAAGTATGCTATTCGAACGGACCCGTCGTGCAAGGAACACTGCAGATACAAAAAACGGGGGGGAAAAAAAATTAATCTTGCATTGCTGAAAAACAGTCAAACGTTTTGTTGGAGTGTGTGAAGAATAATAAAGTAAACAGGTTTTCCGTCGACATGACACGTTAGTTTAATTTCGGGGTGCAAAAAACAATGACCGAAAATTTTGTATTTTTTTACCTTTCGTGTTTTCGGCCGGCCTCGCAACTGGCCTCGGGCAACTATGATTTACACAAAAAAGAAAAAAGAAAAAAAACACAAAAAAAATATAAATGATGTGCAAAGTCGTTCAAGTCCAGCCCTTACCATACGCGGTCGGCGACATCGGTCACAGGAAGAAGAAGAAGAAGAAGAAGAAGAAGAAGAAGAAGAAGAACAGGGAGAACGATAAGAAAAACAAGAAGCAAGAAAATGATTATGAAGAAGAACAGCAACAAGGAAAACAAGAAGACCCGGAACATTTCATTCGTGGAGAATACGAAGTGTCGGCGACAAAAGCGGTGGAAGAAGAAAAAGAAAAAGGCGAAGAAGAAGCAGAAGCACAAGCATAAAAGAAAGAAGTACAAGAGTGTGATGACGACGA